TCCAAAAGGAGCTGTGGGAAAAGTGGGAAGGCGATTTGGACAATACATTTCAAAAGGGGTTCTACCTAGAGGATTGATTATTTTGTGGTTCGATCGATTAGCGTCTGTTTTATTGGATAAGGAGATAACAGCATCATAATAGGTCGATTCTAATTTCAGTGGGGTGTAACATATTTGATAAAAGTTCTCGAATCGAGATATTTGAAGACAGTGGAAGTGTGTACCTTTCTTCGTTTTCGATTTGTCCTGCAACACAAGAGAAGGATGAGCAATCAGTTTCTGTCGAACTTCATCAAAAGCAGCATGACTACTCGAGAACCAACCGGCCCACCATTGAGAAAAACCCACAGTAGACAAATAATTTGACTCGAAAGCATAGGGGTAAAAATGCATCGGGGTCTTTGGTAAAAGCTTGACGAGCTCCCGACTAATTGTAGATTCAGTTAACTTGGACCTTGGGGAGGTATCGAGGGGGAAGAAAGGTAAAGACTGGCTCAAACCAAACTGCCTCGAGAAAAGCTGAGGATAATAGGTTATAAACTTAAAGTCTTTCGACTGAAAACCCGATATTAATACATCATGGGTTAAATAATTACTCCATATATCGATCAGCTCCGATTGCAACCCAGGAGTCGAGGCAGGGAACTTTGACTTAAACCAAATTGGTCCCCTAAGTTGGTCACTTAATTGTCCGAGATGTGTGGTAAAGGGAGCCAAAGTCGAATCGAAAGTGAAACGCGTCAACAAAAAATTAAGATATCTACAATAGGCCGCTTCATCAGGCTTATGGTGAGGATGACGAGAAGACAATCGAGCGCCTTCTATATTTATACTTGAGGGGATGGTAGAAATTGGGGGAAGAATGTTCTCAAAAATCGAAGTTAGCCATAACTGTATAAACCAAATAGGCCCAGAAAAATTTCCCGAGGTTTTAGGAGTATTCAGAATTTCAACAGCCTCGTCAAAAGCAGTATATATATATGCTAACAATAATTTGGCTAAACATATTCTAGGTTGGCCCAGGTGAAGAAGATATGCAAGGTTAAACAAATGAGAAGAAATTTGGATTGATCGGGGGCAGAAAACATGGGTACACAACCAGTACACCAAAAAGGCTACGTGCTCTTCATCGGTAACAGTTATCGAGTCGTCATCGACAAAATGCTTCTCGAGGAAATGCCCATAGGCCTTCGATTCCCAATCGATTTTAGACTTTAGAGAATTATCCGAAGGACATGCACCCTGAAAGTATCTTTCTCCTACAGGTTTCAGTCCAGTTATAGTAGCAACCTCAAAGAGAGTAGGTGAAAGGGGACCACAGGGCAACTCCAAGGCATGTAAATCCTTGTTCCACAAGTGCACCGCAGACAAAAACATTGCCATATCCAAAAATGACAAATCACATCGAGATAGGTGCAAAAAGTCATAAATCCCTATATCTCTCCAGTGGTTTCCAAACTTGGCTTTTACTCTATCAAACCATCTAGTAAATGAAGATTTTTTGGAAGGAGGACCCGTTCGGTATACCCTCGAAACCACATTCAAAAAATCAACCCTAACTTCAGGTTGGTGTATAAGAGCCGGGCTAGGCGCGAGGTTAAGGGGAGAAAAGGTTCCATCAATAGGACGAAGAGGACCCCCAAAAGCAAAATTAATACCCTCAATATTGTAAGGAATAAGTACCTGTGTCTCGGCAATTTTCCGAGAAGCCTCCTCCATCAAAGGAATCGGAGCAAACTTCTGGTTATTAATCTCTAGAAGAGGAGCCGTCAACGAAGGAAGAGGTGGAGCCGAAAAATCAGAAGATTTGGAGGAAGTAGCCATCTCAGTAACTGGTACGGTGAAGAGGAGTAAGGCAAAAGACGAAAGCGCAGGGGTGAAGACGAGCTCAAGGAAGAAGATGAAGCTGCAAAGGGTAAAGGTTCGCGTAAAAAACCCAAGTAAAAACCCAATAAAGAGATTAAAAGGAAAATCACTTAGGGAGCTGGAAACGACAGAGGTGAAAGGTAATTAATGTGGCTTGTACCGTAAGGCAGCAGACTGACAGGATAACGACATAAAGCAAAAAAGAAACCCAAAACCCCTTAAACCTTAGAACCCCAGAAACCCTAAACCCTAAGTTCTGTGGGCCTCCAAACACTAAGGCGGGAATATTGAAAGAATATAAACAAACTATTCATATTCTTCCAAGGGGGCATTTTGTTAGTGGCAAATCGAAAAAAAAAATGATCGAAAATGAAGGAAAGAAAAGTGACTCGATAAGATAAACAAAAATTCATTCGATGTCTAATTAGAAGTACGTAGCATATAGCATCGAGAAGCACAATCGAGAATTGAGTGAATGATAACTAAATACCTGTTGTCGAATAAAAACTAAGTCATATGATGCCAAAGTTAAAATGAACCAAAAGTAATGTAAAGTTCTCGATAAAATCGAAATCAAGGGGAAAGCTAATATACGTGGATATTGAAACCCTGGCCAAACCGTGAAGAGAAGAATAAGTCAAACACACGTATAGAGAGCAGTTTTGAAATCTTGGAGGAAGTCGAAGATCGTGAGAACGTGGGAAACCGTAGAAGATAAACTGCCATATGCACGTAGAACGTGGTAGCAGTCTGGTTAACTGCTCCTAGAAAGCATTGAACGATGCCCTATAAATAGAGCAAAGAAGGACGGAACAAAGGGGCGGAAATTGGCAGAGGACAGAATCAGTAGTGAAAAGTCTACCGGAGAAACGACGAACATCATGAAGCTTCTAGCAATCTGGATTTCCTTGCTCACTGAGTACATTTACCGCTTTCTGTATTTTCCTTGGTAATTTATTTTGATGCAACTTAAATTCAGCAGTTTTATGTTTCTGTATTTTCGATTCCTTGTCATTTCAATTCAATGAAAGTTTAAGTTTCCATGTTATTTAACATTCTGCAAATCTCGATTTCCTGTTATTTATTTTTCTTGCAAGCTCAATTTGTTGTTATTTACATTTGTGCTGTTTTCGATTTCTTGTCATTTACAATTAATGCAAATTTGGGGTTTTCGCACTTTACATTTCTTTGCAATTTAATATTCCATTTCGATACTTTTACTGCTTTCGATAGTCTAAATATAAAATACTAAAAAATAGCATTCTTGGTAGGATGTAACTTTCGATTCTCATACACGTTTTCGATTGAAAGTCAGACTGCTAGCCTAAGTGAAAAGAACTTACGTGGGAGGATTTCGATTAGGACCATAACACTGTTTAGAATCGAAATCGATCGAAATTCCACCAGAAACACATATATAATGTCATAATATATATAATAATAAATCTTGTACTATTAATATGAATATTAACAAATACCCCTAGTAATATTATATATATGATATAAATTAGATTATCTCATACAAATTAGATTTTATTCATTAATAATATATAAAATATCATAAATAAAAGTTAACGTAACATATTACTATATAATTTTTTATAATCAATAAAATATATAATTATATAATTTTATAAATTTTATAATCAATTTATTGTAAATATTACTATATAATAATATTAATAAATATTGTAATAAAAAATATTAAAACAGTATAATATTTAGATCATAAATTGGTATATATTCATTTAATATTATAAAAATGTATCGTTTTTTGATATTTGTAATTGTGATAAAAAAATGGTATGTCTATTAGTTAAAAAAATTGGTATATATTCATTTGTTCAGCAAGACTTTTTAAGTCAAGAAGAAATAATGCAGTGAGGGTACAATGGTAAATGGAAGTGTGTATAAATCAAAAGCGCTCCCGGTGGTGCTGAGTAGAGTCCCTTGGAAGGACGAGAACGCGACACTAGAAAGAGGAGGGAAAAATACTGTTCCTCAACGGATTTTCCTAACCTATAACAATTTCTATACTCCATCGCTTGATGTTTAGTGATTTATTATTTATATAGATAGAAGAACGATGATTATTCAATTTTTTTAAAAGTGATTATAGAATTGCGAGTAATAATTTAAGGAGGAGTGGTACAAAAATTTCCCGTTAAATGAAGAGATTAACTAAAAAAACAACTCATGTGTATTTATGTTTTTATCTTTTTCATTTCTATATAAATTAATTATACATGGTATCAAAAAAGTGAAAAAATAAACAATTTTCTAGATGAGAATCAATTATAAAAAAATTATTTTTATAGTTATTATCATTTTTTCATAACTAAAATAGATTTTCGTTCAAAATCAATTATAATTTTTATGATTATAAATAATCAATTCTTAGTATCAACGTAACGGATTCTTTATTATATTAATTTAATAAGAATTGATTTTCGATCATATATAATATATAAAGAATCAATTATTTTTTAAATAAGAATCGATTCTCTTAGATTTAATAATAATAATAAAATTAATTTTAATAATAATAATAATAATAAATATATAAATAATAATAATAAATAATAATAATAATTTAAATAATTATAATATTTTAAATAATAATAATTTTTATTTAAAGGATAATATGATATTTTATAATTCTTTTATTAAAATATTATTTTATTATTTATATCAATCAAATAGTTTACAAACCCTCCTAAAATTTCCTCACATTTCTCTGTACTCCTTATAATCTTTCTAATAATCTAATCAACCCTACTTTTACCTCCTTAATCTTCAAATCTATCATTTTGTCTTCACTCAAATCCTTCCCCTAATGCAAACCCACCCTATTGTATATTTCAAACTCTTCTTATTTAACTCCACCAATTCCTCCCAGTGTCTGTTATAAATAACTTTATTTCCATCTCACTAATAACCTTCTTTCCATCGCAATGGTGAGAGGTCTGGTCTATGCTGGTCGCAGAACCTTTGAATTAGCGTAGCTTTACTTCATAGAACCCTAGAGGTAGAATCATAGCATAAGCGTTTAGACTCTGAATTGTTCTGCTCTCCCAAAATTAAACTAGGGTTTGAGCCTTTTCGCGTTTGTCTCTCACTTCTACAACACCAAAATGAGTCCTGTTCAGAATTTCGAGCAACATTCTCGTCATCTCGTGGAGCCCGACCTCCGTATGCTCTCTCTCTTTTTCTTGCTGCAACGATCACTATCATTTTGTGTGCTCTATTTATTACTGTTTAATTGTGGATTGAAATGAAAAAAAGAATTGCATGACGTAGGGAACTTAGATACTGAATGCTTTTACGCTCTGTTTTCGACTGTGATTTTATTTCTCCTTATTTTCATGTACTCTTGCCTATGAAAATGGAATCGGCCATGCATGTGCGTTATCGGCATTTAAGTGCTTTCAGTTTTAGATGTTTTGACATTTGGCGCATATTTCCATGTTCTTTTGCGGCAGGAAAATGGATTTCAATATGCCTGTGATGTATTGGTATTTAAATGCTTAGTTTCGACATTTGTTGCTTAGTTTCATTTCTTTTTCCAGAGGAAAAAATGATTTTACTATGTCTGTGTCGTATTTTGGCATTTAAGTACTTTCAGTTTTTGTTGTTTTGATATTTGGAACTTATTTTCGTGTTCTCTTGCAGTAGGAAAATGGAGTCAATTCAGCTACGTCTGTGTCTTATTGGCATTTAAGTGCTTCCAGTTTTTCTTGTTTTGTTTCATGTTCTTTTGGAGTAGGAAAATGGATTCTACTATTCCTGTGTTGTATTGGCATTCAAGTGTTTTCAGTTTTTCTTGCTTTGACACTTGGTGCTTATTTTCATGTTCTTTTGCAGTAGGAAAATGGATTCAACTATGTCCGTGTTGTATTGGCATTTTAGTGCTTCCAGTTTTCCTTGTTTGACATTTGTCACTTATTTTCATGTTCTTTTGCATTAGCAAATTGGATTTTCAACTATGCATGTATTGTATTGGCATTAATGTACTTTCAACATTTTTGTAGTTTTGACATTTGGAATTTGTTTGCTTAATAATTGTGTTTTCCTGGTTGAACAGCGATTCAGGTGAGGCTGCAGATGGTGATGGAGGTTAGGGACAGTCTAGAGATTGCACACACTGCTGAGTACTTGAATTTTCTGAAGTGCTACTTCAGGGCATTCTCGGCAATACTGCTGCAAATTACGAAGCCTCAGTTTGTGGACAATCCGGAGCACAAGCTTCGGAATATTGTAGTTGAGATTTTGAATAGACTTCCACACAGTGAAGTTCTCCGGCCCTTTGTTCAGGACCTGTTGAAGGTTGCCATGCAAGTGCTCACCACAGATAATGAAGAGAATGGCTTAATTTGTATTCGGATAATCTTTGACCTTTTGAGGAACTTTAGGCCAACTCTAGAAAATGAGGTCCAGCCATTTCTGGACTTTGTTTGCAAGATTTACCAAAATTTTAAACTAACTGTTAGCCATTTCTTTGACAACATGGCAATGACTGGGGAAGATGTCAAGCCCATGGAGACTTCACTTTCTGATCAAGGTATAAACACCACCACTGCAACTGGTTCACAACTTAATCCAAGTACTCGCTCATTCAAGATAGTTACAGAGAGTCCACTGGTGGTGATGTTTCTGTTTCAATTATATAGTCGTCTTGTGCAAGCAAATATTCCTCAATTATTGCCATTGATGGTTGCTGCTATATCAATTCCTGGCCCAGAAAGGGTTCCTCCTCATTTGAAAAATAATTTTATTGAGCTCAAGGGTGCACAGGTTAAGGTAGGTGCTTATGGTAAAAATGAAGGCTGGCTAAATTCTTTTCCAAGATTTTATTAGTATTTATTTAGGAAGTGAAAATTTTAATATTTTTAGTACTTAGAAGCATAGTACAATGTATTTCAATGTGGGTTACGAGATATATAATAACATCAAAATCCCGTTAATCCCCATGTTGATCATGAGTACCAACTACTAGGATTCTGAATTTTCAACACTGTCACATAAACATTGTATAAATAGGCTACCAATTACTAGGGAAATAAAGCTGATGTTTGTCTTGCTTTTTGCTTTAATTTTTAGTTGACCTTTTTCACTAATAATTAAAAAAATGGCACATTGTTTTCACTGGCTTCCCTATTTACATACTCCTGGGGAGGAAATGGCGAAGACAACTTTTTTTTGTAACCATTCTTTTCTAAATTTAAACAAGGTGGCAATTTTGTAGTTAATAGTGAAAACATATTAACTGAATCAGAAATCATAGACCTCAAAGATGTCCATTTATTGAAGGCATCATAGAGCTTATGTGACAAATAATGGTAAAGACCACATAATAACCACTGTTGTGCCATCTTTCTTTTTGGGTACCCTCCAAAATAGTTAAATTTTATTAGTTTATGAGTTAGTCCAGTGAAGTTATTGAAGACAATTCTTTTACTCTTAATTTCACTGCTATTACCTTTTTGCCACTCTTTGGTCCCTTGTTGTCCCGTCTATTAACATTAGATTAGGAAGTACTTTAAAATTTTCGAAGATAGTGATTATGAGAGTGTATGAGATGAAAGGTACACCACGAAGGTGGTCAAGTTTGGCATTTGGTTCACCTGTGGATATATATTCTATTTTATTGCCAGCTATTTTGGGGTGAACAAATGGAAGTGAAAGCTACAATTTTTTCATTAGCTAATCCTTCTCTTGATATCATCTAATTATACACCCACTATTTTATTTTGTCATTGCAGACAGTTTCCTTTTTAACTTATCTATTGAAGAGCTATGCTGATTATATAAGGCCACATGAAGAAAGTATATGTAAAAGCATTGTGAATTTGCTCGTAACATGCTCTGATTCTGTATCCATTAGAAAGGTGATACTGCTGCTTTTGCCTCTCTTTTTTTCTGTTGATATCTCTTTCATTTGTTTAAAGACAAAAATGTTGGATGCAGGAGCTATTGATATCCCTGAAACATGTCCTTGGAACAGATTTCAGGAGAGGTTTATTTCCTCTTATTGATACTCTACTGGAAGAAAGGTAACGTGATGACCTATTCTGAGATATTGATGCAGATTCACTTTAGAATTTTACAAAGGGGACTGGGAATTTAGTGTATTCAGAGTAAATAAAACTAAACATGTATACAAATCTGTTGAATGTTCTCTAATGTTATAGAGAATTCAAACTTCTAGGGTTCTAGTTGGGACTGGACGGGCATGCTTTGAGACCCTGAGGCCCTTGGCTTATAGTCTTTTGGCAGAGATTGTACATCATGTTCGCCAAGATCTCTCCTTATCACAGGTATGATATTTTTTTCCATGTCAATTAAGATACGAGTTGTCTGTTAAATCAATTTCATTCCGAATAGTAATTGGTTTTTTTCAAATGTCATGTCATCTTAAACAGTTGTTCACTGATTAATACTATTATATAGCACTATATCATTATTTGGTTGATTTTGAAATGTCAATTTGGTCATTCAAAGATTATGATATCTAATTAGCCATCTAATGATGATTTTTAGACATATTGACAATAATTTGGTCCCAGTAAACTGTAAATTTGGACTCTTGATGTCAAAAGGTATAATTTGGGGACCAAGTTAATATTTCAAGGACTAAAAAGAGCGTTTACTCTTTAACAAATGATTTAAATTTTTGTCGAAGTAAAATAAAATAACTATTGGAAGCATATATTAATTCAACCAAATATATGTTAGAAACTAAAAATTTAAATTTGTTCAGCAGTAAAGAAGGGAAGAACAATTGAGCAGGACATATTGTGTACAGAGTTTAGAGCAATTATGGAATTTGTGAAGAGTAAAATAGAGAAGGTTTTTTGCTCCTGTGTGGTGAATCTGAAGTAATTTGGTGCATTAAATTGGACAGGATGATTGTTTTCAAGGATAATATTTTATTGTTTGGGATGGAATAAAGTAGTATTATGAGCTTTTTTGTGTTGCTTAGCTAATATGGGGTCTCTTTTATTCAACTGTTTAATAAAATTTATTTTCATGTATAACGTATGTTGCTCAAAGAAAGGAATATAGACATCAATAATGGAAAAACATTAACAATAATCTGGGGAAAAATAAGAAAGGAATATCACAATATGTAATGTTCAAAAAATGTTTATACATTTAATTTTAAGAAAAAAATACACAAGCAGGTGGATTACTAGCGTTCTATAACAAAATAGGTTTATACATTTGTTCCGAAATTTACATGTAATTCTTTTGAACTAAATACGAATGATAGTTCTATTATTTTTACAATCAACAGAATTTGTGGAGAAAATTTACACTATTGATGGAGGTAAAATGATGATTAATATGTACATAAATGTGAAAATTTGTTCTGAATTCAATGGCATAATATTTCGTCTCATTGTGTTTCTGTAAATATCTTTGACTTACAAGGTTTCTTTTAGATGTGATCTTGCTGATTTAAATTCTCTATGGTTGCAGTTGTCACGAATTATTTACCTATTCTCAAGTAATATGCACGATGCTTCACTATCATTGAGCATCCACACCACCTGTGCTCGCTTGATGTTGAATCTGGTGCTTATCCTAACTCTTCTTAATACTATAGTTAATTTTATTCTTTGATTTAATTTTCCAACTATTGAGCTATTCAAAAATTAGGGTGCTACCTCCTTTAACATGGAAATTTGGGGCTTGCCAACTGTTTTTCCTACATGTTTTTGCCATTTATTTTTTTTGTCTTTTTGGACCATTTCTTGTTTTCTATCTTGTAACCTCTTCCTAAATAATATTCATTTTTGCTTGCTTCTGGAGTGTTATTGTTTTTCAATTATTATTTGTCCATCGTTATTTCTAACCTGACATGCAAAAGTTGACCTGTATTTATGTCTTCCCCTTCTCTCCAAATTAGGATTTGTTATCTAATTAATTTCCTGAAATCTTCTTTTCTTTCAATTTGATATAGGTGGAACCAATTTTTGAGAAAGGGGTTGATCAACAATCTACAGATGAAGCAAGAATTCTATTGGTCTGCTTCTCAATATTTGTTAGCTTTTTGCAATGTTGTATTTTACTTCATCTGCTTATGGGATTGACATTAGTTGTGTTGCTTTGTAGGGTCGCATTTTGGACGCTTTTGTTGGGAAATTCAGTACTTTCAAACGGACAATTCCCCAGGTTACTTGGGTCAATTTATAGTTCCTTGTTGTGTCTACTTGTTGCCTCATTATAATTGCTATCTGTAGTTTTATTATTATGGATTTTTTATCACCTTTCTTGGGGCTGAGCACAATTGTATTATTGGAGTACAACACATTTTTAAATACACACTTATGTCCTTATATTTTTCTGGTCCGCTTGTGCTATTGCAGAATTCAGGACTCTTTCTTTTTGCATTGTTTGCCTGCTAATTTGATTAGAATAGGCTTTTTGGAAATTTTGATGTGAAGTCTTCCCTTATTATCTGGTTTAGTTTCTCCTTATTAAATTTAGAGAGTTTGGTTTTGGTAAAGAATCTACAAGTCTAGGGGCATGGGTTTGCCTTAGTATACCTCTGGTGTAGTTGGCTGGCAAGGAATGTTTAAATTTTCAAGGGAATTAACATTTGGGAGAGGTTGTTTCTTCAGCTTGTCTGTGTTGTTCTGCTCTTGATATTTGTTAGAAGATTTCTTTGTTGCAAGGCTGAGAGATTGGCATACTTTGTTACATGACTTAGTCCTTTATAACGTAATGAATTTCTTTTCAATAAAATAAATGACATCCTAACATCGGTTTCAACTAAACTGAAGTATATCAAGTTAGGAGAAGTATTTAAAGGAGGCCCAAGATTGGAAGGGAGTATCATCAATATGGGATTGGAAGCTGTTGTGAGTTGTGTTAGGTGATTGTCATTATAGAATGACGGTGTGGTGTAATGACCTGTCATGGTGGTGGCAAGGCCACATATTGGTTAGTGAGAATGGGTTATAATAGGAGGAGTGGTTAGGGGAAGGTTGGTGGCAAATTGTGCGTGAGATATGGGGGGTAACCCTCTCCGGTTGCTTGTGGTGTTTCAGTATTCCCCTTTTCATCTATTTTTCACTGCCCATGTCAACTTTCCATCTGTAATGAACCCAACAGCTAAACCTGAGTTTTGACAGATATGCGAAGGCAGAGAAAAGAGAAAAAATAGGAACAGTTATGAGATGTAAATTGAATGACAAACAGAACTTAGGTGCTTTTGATCACTTCTCTTTGCTTTTGTTTTTAGGTGCATTCTACAGGTTATTGTTGCAACATTTCTTCGTAATTTGTTAATAATATGATTTATTGCTGTTATTTTCTTTAGCTTTTGGAGGAAGGTGAGGAAGGAAAGGAACGGGCTACCTTGAGATCAAAGCTTGAACTCCCTGTGCAGGTTGTTAGAAAAGTTCTGTTTGAAATTCTTTTTCAGGCTATATAATGGCACTTAAATGTTTACCTTCATATTTGGCATGGTATCAGATTGTCATGATTTGCGTTGTTTTGTACTATTTTTGCCATTTTCTGGAAAGAATCAAGTAAATATTGCTCACTGGTAGAGAAAGGAAAGAAATTAGGAATGGTTAACAATATCTGTGTTCAATTACTATTGAAATAATACAGAGAAACTACTCATTCTTCTTTTGCTATTAGTATAAATTTAAAATTATTCTTTTGCAATTATAAATGAAAATTATTGTTTTGCATTATAATTGAAATTATGAGAGGACATTAAATATTTGACTTCATCATGACACCCTCTAATCTTGGGGAATAATTTATAAACACCGTCAATTAAGCATTTCCAGTTTCTCACAGTAGGTAGGGTTGTCTCTTGTATCATGCGATGCCATAAATTTTGTGATATATTTAGTGCATAAAAGACCATTTACCTCTAAATTCCTCTAATATTTTGTGCTGTACTTTTCTTTGGTCTCCTATATTCCATTTGATGAACCCACTTTATGGTTACATCTATTGATCTTCTCCATCTTGGGATCACAAACCTCTTTGTTATACATCAATTGTGCATTTGTTCTAATCAAATGGGGAGGGGTAATAATGGGAAACTCAATAACTCATACTATTAAACTAGGAGGTTGAATTGAGTTTGACCCCATCTCACAAATCCAACCTTAATTTGTTTGGGTTGGAGTTGAGTTTGACCAATCTTATTTTTTTTATTACACTGGACTTCTTGGAACAAATTTGGTCATCCACAGGTATAATTAACCTTCTTGGTTATGTGAGGAAGAGTGTCTTGTGTTTTGTGTAACTAACTGGAAATTCTAGTGTGAAAGGAGAGTGCTCATTTCTTTACAATTATCTACATTTCCTTTTGTTACTAATGTTGAGACATGTTTATTTATCTATCTTTTTGTATTCTTTTTATATGTTCCTTAGGGTAGGGTTAAGGGTTTGGGTTGAGGCCCATATCCTCTTTGTTTTATCTCCTTTATCTATAAATACAATGGAATAGTGTCTTTGGAGACACTGTATTGATTTTCGGTTGTCCTTGTCATCTCCGACCACCGTGGGCCACCGTCTCAGTTTGGTCCAGTGAAGGTGGGGTTTTGTGTGCCTTGGAGAGCACGACCCCCTCCGCCAATCGCTCCTCCATCTGCGGCCTCACGTGCAGTCACGTGCTCCTTCTCCAGGAGGAGCTCCTAGGCATGTGTGTCCCATGCATCGCCATTCCGTAGACGGAATCAAGGCCAATCACCACCGGTTGACTGGTTGGCATCCTCCGAGTCCGGTGGTGCCTTTACTTTTCTGTTTTGGGAACTTTGGAAGCTAGGTCACATGGGTACCCCTAATGGTTAAGTTTATCTTTCATCTTTGATTTAGATGGCTTCATCTTGTGCTTTTTCTTTCTCTGCTACGCTTACCATAACCAATGTCAAACTCAACTGAAAAAATTATCTATCCTGGTCTGCATCAGTTGAATTGTGGTTTTTAGGTCAAGGGTATCATGACCATCTGGAGAAAGATGTAAACTTTATTTCTGCCTAAGGTCTCCGTGCGAGAAAATAAACTTCCAACTTTGTGCAATCTTATGGCAGTTTGTGGAACCCGAGGTTCTTGAGTTTCTCAGGTCATTCAAAACCTGCACTTCATTTTGGAAAAAAGGCTCAAGACATTTTTGCTAACAATATTCAACGTCTCTTTGATGCAACTCAAAGAGTGACGTCTCTCAAGTAAACATGATGTCTCACATTGCAAAAGCTAGGGCTGTTGTGGAGGGATTAAAAAGGTTTCTTGTGGCAAATACCTTAGAGGAGTTAAACCCCAAACTGGATAAGTTGTATATGGTCCTAATTTTGAGAAGGCTGCATTTTGATTTTGATCATGTATGAGATCAAATCTTAGCTGACAACCAAGTTACGTCAATGGATAATTTTGTCATGAGGCTAATTCGAGTTCCCAATCTTATTACAGATGAGAATCAGGTGGAGACAGTTGAAACTTCAGCTATGGTTGCTCCTCGTGATTGAGGGGGAGGACATAACAGTCGAGGAGGATGTGAGAATACAAAAGATTTTCCACAATGCTCTTATTGCAAGAAGATGAGGTACACACAGGAAAATTGCTATTCTTTACATGGTTTCCTGACAAGAATACTACTGTCCATGTCTCTAAGTCTGAGAGACCGGATATGAAAATCTCTGATGAGGAGTATTAGGATTTTTTGAAGTTCAAATAAAAAAAATTCAGTAGCTAGGGTCAATCTTCTTTGGTGTCAAGTGTTTCAACAACATGCATTTCTCATTATGAGGAATGACAAAACCCATGGATTCTTGATTCAGGTGCCTTTGATCATATATCTGGTAATAGCTCCTCATTTTCCTCTATGTCCTATCCTAAAATTCCTCACCTGATTATTCTGACTAATGGATTTAAAGTGAAGTCATAAGGAGTTGGCCATGTTCCTTTAACCCCTTCTCTGAATTTAAATTTTGTGTTCTTTTCATTTCTAATTGTCCTTATAACTTGATTTCTCTAAGTCAATTGACTCAGTCATTAAATTGTTCTGTAACCTTTAATTCCAATTCTTGTTATTCAGGAATATGTTACGGGTCGTCTAATTGGAGATGGACATGAATTGCGTGGTCTGTACTATCTGAATCCAAGTCCTTTAGTGTCATGTCTTGCTTCTCTTGCTCCTAAATTTTTGCATGATCGTCTAGGTCACCCAAGTTTACCTATGTTGAAAGTGATGACTCCTAATCTCAAACATCTTCGGGTTTTAGAATGTGAATCTTGTCAATTAGGAAAACATGTTAGGTCTACCTTTTCTAAACAGTCTGAAACTCAATGTAATTTTCCTTTTTCAAATATTTACTATGATGTTTGGGAACCGAGTTGTGTTTCTTCATTTGGCTTTTGATATTTTGTAACCTTTATTGATGAGATTTCTAGATGTACTTGGGTTTATTTAATGAAAGACAGATCTGGACTTTTATCTATTTTGGTGTCCTTCAATGAAATTAAAAATCAATTTGGGAAGATAATTGAAGTTTTCAGAAGTGTTAATACCAAAGAATATTTTTCAGCCTCCTTCTTTTTCTTTTTATCTTCCCACGACATTTTACATCAGTCAACTTGTCCTTACACCTTACAACAAAATGGTTCTGCAGAAATGAAAAATAGGCATATTATTGAGACTACACACTTTCTAATGTTGAATGTCAATGTTCTTGTTCATCATTGGGGAGATCTAGTTCTCATAACTTGTTTTTTGATTAATCGAATGCCAATGTCCTTTCAATCTTATTTTATTGAGTCAATTAACCAAGTTATTAAATTGTTAAATAAACTTTGATGCTAATTCCTTTATTATATAGGGTGACTAATTGGAGAAAGATATGAATTTAGAGATTTATACTATTTAGAACTAGTCCACATGTGTCTTGTTTTACATCTTGAATTCAAAAACTTTTTTGTCATGGTCGTTTGGGACATCATCTCCACTTGTCAAAAACAAAAATAAATGGTCCTTGAACTTAGTAGTTTTCATATGTTAGAATGTTAGTAATGGCCCTCCAAAAAGGTACTTGTTGTACCCGTAATCTATATTCTATTTATAGCTTTCTTAATTATCATATGTTATCTCCTTCCTATTGTTCTTTTCTATCCTCGGTGTCTTTTATAATTGTTCTAAAAAATGTGAATGAAACACTTGATCATCTTAGATAGCGACAAATCATGATTGCAGAGATGTAGACTCTTGATCAAAATCGCACATGGGAGTTAGTGCCCCTTCCACCTAGGAAGAAGATTGTTGGATGTCGATGGATTTATGCTATTAAGTGGCTCCAATGGTGAAGGTGATTATCTCGAGGCATGCTTAGTTGCCAAATTATGTACTTAGATTTAGAGCCTTGATTATATTGATATTTTTTCTCCCGTGGCTAACATGACTACTATATGTCTTTTCTTTGACATGACAATTATTCGTCATTGACTACTTCGTCAATTTGATTTTAAAAATGCCTTTCTCCATGGAGATCTAGAAAAGGAAGTCTATATGGAGCAACCTCCTAGGTTTGTTGTCCGGGGGAGTTTGGTTTAGTTTGTAAGTTACGCCTCTTTATGATTTCAAGCAATCACCACATGCTTGGTTTGGGAAATTTTGCTACATTGTTCAAACGTTTGGGCTGAAACATAGTGAAACAGATCATTTCATTTTTTACTGACATACTTCTATTGGAAAATGTGTTTACTTAATCGTATATCTAAATTAAAGGAACACTTATGTAAAATTTTCAAACCAAGGATCTTGGGAGCTTCAAAAGGGGTGTTACAATCTCTCAAAGGAAGTATGTTCTAGATATCATAAAAGAGATAGTATGATTGACGGTAGACCACTAAATAGTCCCATGGCCAAATGAAAAGTTAACGACAAAACAAAGGTGAATCGTTCTCTGATCCAAAAAGATATAGAAGGCTATGTGAAAAATATGTGTATCTTATTCTTACTAGACCTTATATGTCTTTTGTAGTTGGTGTTGTTAGTTAATTCATGTAGGCTCCTTGTACTGACCATTGGAATGTTGTCATTTATATCCTAAGATACCTCAAAAAAGCTCCAGGGCAAGTTTTGTTATATGAAGATAAAGGAAACACCTAAATCTCTTGGTATTGTGATGTTGATTAGGTAGGATCCCTTGCTGGCAGACGTTCTATTACATGATATTGTGTTTTCCTTGCAGAAAATATTATTTCTTGGAAAAGTAAGAAACAAAACGTAGTAACCTGATCAATTGTTGCGGTTGAATATATGACAATGACGTCTCTTACTAGTGAATTTGTATGTGTGAAATAATTCTTTCAAGAGCTTAACTTTTGTGAGATCCAGACAATGAAGATGTATTGTGATAACCAAGTTGCTGTTCACGTTGCTTCCAATTCAATATGTCATGAGAGAAGTAAACACATTGAAATTTATTGTCATTTTATTCGAGAAAAGTTGTTGTCAAAGGAAATATGTAGTAAGTTTGTTGGATCTAATGATTAACTTGCAAATGTGTTAACAAAATCATTAAGGGGACCTCGAATCGAGTTTATTTGTTTTAAGCTTGTTACAAATAATTCATATGCTCCAACTTGAGAGATAGTGTTAGAATAAGTATTAAATATAGTTAGAAAGTAGTTGTATTTGAAAACTGTTTCATGCTGTACCTATCTTTGTACCTAGGTTTTTAGTTTAGGCTTTTGATCTTTGATCTTCCCTCTACTCATTGTATTAGAATTCTATCATTATAAATATGAGATCACAAGTGAGATGTGATTAAGCCCTCTAAAATATATTTTCTCTTTTATTAATCTTACATATATGTATATTTTTTGAGTTAAAATATTACTAGTATTGATGTTTTTTTAATTATGCCCTGTTAGATTGATATCTGTCTTTTGGTGTATTTCTCCTTCGCAGGCAGTTTTGGCATTGCAGGTTCCTGTAGAACATTCAAAGGAAGTTAATGATTGCAAACATTTGATCAAGACATTAGTGATGGGTAATTTATATCCTTAAACCTTCTGTAGTTCATAGAAGGTGATCATGGATTAGGTTGAATCAGGCTTGAGAAAATGGATTCCAAGTGATTAAATTTAACTGGGTTGGATTAGACCTATGCTGTTAAATTTTTTCAACTATAATGACCCAAACCATCTCTGGCTTGGATTGTTGTGTATTTTTTTACTTTTATTTTTTTGTCATATTTTAGTTATTAAAATGAAGTATTATAAAATATAAAAATAGTGATAACATTCTATATTATACATATGTGTATATATTCTTTATTTTTATAATTATTAATAATAAATTCAAATAAAATAGAAAAATACAAATAAGAATGTGCGCACTCACTGGTTGAGGTTGAAGTATGATATACCTAATCTTATACATGGTCCTGTCAAGCTCTTTTTGATCCAATTTAATACGAATATTCAAATCAACATGTGTTTCTCTAGTTTGGATTGCTTTTGGTCAGATTTATTGGTTGAGCTTGGTCTATAGTCAAACTTAGTAGTTTTTAATCTTTAATTTTTAGTCGTGCCATACGTTCATATATATTATTGCTTTTGCCACCTTATATTATGACTGATAAATTTCACATTTTTATCATATTTTTACATTTTTAAAACTTCTTTTTTAATAACTACAAGGAATGAAGACCATAATATGGAGCATCACCCATGCACATTCCCCAAGGCAGCAGGTAATCAAAATATTTTCTGCTCGTGGATTTTACCCCACTTTCCCCTGAACGCATGCATTGTTTCTTATATATGAATTTTCCCTATCCATGGAACGTTACAGGCTCTTGTCTCACCATCTTCCAATTTATCACCACCTCAAGCATTAAGGGGCATGAGAGAAGATGAGGTATCACTGATAGGCTTAACTTTAACATCAGTGTTTTTTTAAATGGCAAAGTTGATTTAAGAGTCGAGTCTTTGTTGTGTAGGTTTGCAAAGCTTCTGGTGTTTTAAAAAGCGGTGTTTATTGCTTAGCACTTTTCAAGGAAAAAGATGAGGAGAGGGAAATGCTGCATCTCTTCTCGCAGATTTTGTCCATCATGGAACCAAGAGATCTTATGGATATGTTCTCTCTGTGTATGCCTGAACTTTTTGAGTGCATGATCTCCAACACTCAACTTGTGCATATATTCTCTTCCCTTCTAGCAACCCCCAAAGTTTACAGGCCATTTGCAGATGTGCTTGTTAATTTTCTTGTGAGCAGCAAACTTGATGCCTTGAAGGAACCAGATTCACCTGCAGCAAAACTGGTTTTGCATCTCTTTCGATTTATATTTGGTGCTGTTACTAAAGCACCAGCTGATTTTGAACGGATTTTGCAGCCTCATGCTCCTGTTATAATGGAGTTTTGCATGAAAAGTGCTACTGAAGTTGAAAAACCTCTTGGCTACATGCAGTTGCTTCGCACAATGTTCAAGGTACTTTCAGGGTGCAAATATGAACTTTTGCTCCGGGACTTGGTGCCCATGTTGCAGCCTTGCCTCAATATGCTGCTGGCTATGTTGGAAGGGCCAACTGCAGAAGATATGCGAGATCTTTTATTGGAGCTTTGCTTGACCTTACCTGCACGATTAAGCTCTCTGTTACCATACCTTTCTCGTCTTATGAAGCCTTTAGTATTATGTCTCAGGGGAAGTGATGAATTAGTGAGTCTTGGTTTAAGAACACTTGAGTTTTGGGTTGATAGTTTAAATCCTGATTTCCTTGAACCCATTATGGCTAGTGTTATGTCTGAGGTGATTCTTGCCTTGTGGTCTCACTTACGACCAGCTCCCTATCCCTGGGGTGCAAAAGCATTGCAGCTTCTTGGCAAGTTAGGAGGCAGAAACAGACGATTTCTCAAAGAGCCTTTGGCACTTGAGTGTAAGGAGAATCCTGAGCATGGGCTTCGCCTGATTTTGACATTTGAGCCTGCGACACCATTCTTGGTGCCACTTGATCGATGCATAAATCTTGCTGTGGAAGCTGTAATGAACAAAAATTGCGGCATGGATGCTTTCTATCGGAAGCAAGCTCTAAAATTTCTGCGAGTGTGCCTATCATCTCAGCTCAATTTGCCTGGAAGTGTAGCTGATGAGGGATGTACGTCCAAGCAACTATCAGCATTGTTAGTTTCTACAGTTGATCAATCATCACGTCGGTCTGAGTTAATGGATGTCAAGGTTAGTTTTTATTGTTTAAGAATCCTTAATATCCTATACAAGTTGTGCTTACACTTTTGATTAATCAGTATGGAACTAAATAACTTTCAGTTCACTGTACTCATGGACCTCTCCTCCATGATGTTGTAATAAAATTATAAAAGTTTATGCTGCTGTTGATCTCCGTTAATCTTTTTTTTGCTATATAACATTATACTTATTTAAGTGTGGTTACCTTTAGGCTTCTATCTACTTTAATTGATCTATTATCCTCTCCAATATTTTACCATAGATGGGTCTGTATTACAAATGTTGTTTCTGAAATAATATATGACACCTCATTTTCAGGCTGACTTAGGTGTAAAGACAAAGACCCAACTTATGGCTGAGAAGTCTGTTTTTAAGATTCTTTTGATGACTGTCATTGCTGCCAATGGTGAGATTGATCTCACAGATCCCACAGATGATTTTGTTGTCAACATATGTCGCCATTTTGCAGTGATATTTCACATTGATTCTTCATCCAGTAATTTATCAGTATCTGCAATTGGGGGTTCATCACTATCAAATAATGTTCATGTTGGTTCTAGGCTTAAAAGCAATGCTTGTTCAAATCTGAAGGAGCTGGACCCTCTAATATTCTTGGATGCTTTAGTTGACGTATTAGCAGATGAAAACAGGCTCCATGCCAAAGCTGCTCTTGGGGCTTTAAACGTGTTTGCAGAAACACTTGTATTCCTAGCTCGTTCAAAACATACCGACTTGATAATGTCTAGAGGACCAGGTACACCTATGATTGTTTCTAGTCCTTCAATGAATCCTGTATATTCTCCGCCCCCTAGTGTTCGTGTTCCTGTATTTGAACAACTGTTGCCCCGGCTTCTGCATTGTTGCTATGGGCTTACCTGGCAAGCACAAATGGGTGGCGTCATGGGACTTGGTGCTTTAGTTGGAAAGGTCACTGTTGAGACTCTTTGCCTTTTTCAAGTAAGAATCGTGCGTGGTCTAATATATGTTCTTAAAAAGCTTCCCATATATGCAAGCAAGGAGCAGGAGGAGACAAGTCAAGTGCTCACTCAAGTTCTTCGAGTAGTTAACAATGTTGATGAAGCTAATAGTGAGGCACGAAAGCAGAGCTTTCAAGGAGTTGTTGATTTTCTTGCTCAAGAGTTGTTCAATCAGAATGCATCTATTATTGTAAGAAAGAATGTACAATCATGCTTGGCTCTTTTGGCTAGCAGGACGGGTAGTGAGGTGTCAGAATTATTAGAGCCATTATATCAGCCTTTTCTCCAGCCTCTTATTGTGCGATCACTCAAGTTGAAGACTGTTGATCAACAGGTTCATTTTCTTTTGCTGACGGTGGTTTATTTTCTTTGAGCATTCATTTTTTACTAATTTACTTGATTGTATCTTGTGTAGGTTGGAACAGTTACAGCATTGAATTTCTGTCTAGCATTGAGGCCACCTCTTCTCAAGTTGACACCAGAGTTAGTTAACTTCCTGCAAGAAGCATTGCAAATAGCAGAATCTGATGACAATGCCTGGGTTGCTAAGTTTATCAACCCCAAAGTGATGACATCATTGACTAAACTTCGTACAGCTTGTATAGAGCTGCTTTGTACAACAATGGCATGGGCTGATTTTAAAACACCAAATCACTCTGAGTTGCGGGCCAAGATTATTTCCATGTTTTTCAAGTCTTTAACCTGTCGAACTCCAGAAATTGTTGCTGTTGCAAAGGAGGGCCTGCGGCAGGTACAGTTAGCTTTTATTATGTATAGCTTCTGCTTCTTCATTTGGTTGATCACAATGCATGTACAGATATATCCCTAAATGATGTGTACACACCTCTTATTTGATAGAATATTTGAAGTCTTAATTCTTATGATGTCCATGATCATTTGTTACAGTCGTAGCTATCAACCCAATATAGTAGATAGTGGGGCATCCAAACCCACAAGTGATATTATTGGGTAGTGGATCCCAGGATGGCTGCTATATTGAATATTTCCAATACAAGTTAAATAATTTATACTGCTCAAGTACACATAAATGCTATAAAATAAAAAATATTCATAACACTTAAGATAAATACAATAGGAGAGAAATATATTTGAGAGGCTTGATTTCTCTATCATAGGTTCTCATATTTTATAATAAAAAAGGTAGTTCAAATACAATGAATGATAGAGAGAAGGGAATAAGAAAAGACATATATAGTTCCTAAATAATTAAGTTTATTTAAGACTTATTTTAACAATAATTAAAATTCAAATGTTATAGTCAGACCCCATCTCCCTTATTCTCATGAATTTGTGAGTTATAGATTATTAAGATTGACCAGAGCTGTTGAAGAGATTTTCCTCTTCTAATTCTACTCTTTTTCCTGCCTTATTCCTGCATAAATTGGTTCGAGCCTCATTATATGAAGTACAATCAAACTAGGGATGGTAAAACTAGAGCTGTCAAAAAAGGCGGGTTGCCCAACCCATATGATCCTACGGGTCAAATAAAAAAATTTGATAGTTTATCCCGACGTATATTTTAAAATGGGTAAAAGCCTAGTATGGTCCTATGTTAGGCCAACGGGCCAATATTGAATTTAAAAAAATATATTAACATATCTATATAAAATTAATTAATTAATTTTTTTAAAATATTTTTTTTTGAGAATTTAAATTTTATTAATGAAATTAGTTTTTATTTAAGATAATATATGAATTATAAGAGAATGTATCCATTCAATCTCAAAATAAGAATTAAAAACTTATTTTTTATTATCATTATTTATTTTTAGTAATTTATTAATTTAAAATAGTAATTAATTTTAATCATATAAGATATTGAAATAAGTGATTATTAGATATTTATTTTTAGAATATGTAAATCCAAATCAAAATTAATTTATAATACATATATTTTTTAATAAATTATTATTATTTTTATTTAAAAATAATTATTATTCTATAAAATGGGCCGATCTATAAGTGTACTGGCTAGTCTGGTTTAAGTCTATATAAGCCATGACCAAAATAAGCTAGGTCAAAATAGGCCTGACTCAGTTCAGCCTAACCTGGTTTATTTATTGAGCCTTTCTAGTCGATCTATCAGACTAAGCCTATTTTAACACCCTAGGTAAAACAAATTAGGCTTGGTGAGCCGACCCACCAACCCGCCTAAAAAATGGCGTGCAAGTTGGTGTTTTTAGCCTATCAACTCATTTTGACCCGTCCCGCCTAGGCAACTCGACAGGCCAAGGGCTAGGTTGATCGACTTAAAAAAAATATTTATATCTTAAAATAAGAGTAAAAAAGATTATAATTAAGAATATTATATTTTTTTGTGTTTTGTTATTGAAATATATCAATATATTATAAAATAATAATTTAAATTATAAAAATTAATTAATTAAGTTTAAATTAATGTTTATAATTAGTTATTTTAACATGTAAATATAATAATTTTTTCAATTTATCTAATAAAAATATTAATTAATAAATAAAAACTTAAAAGTTATTCATATAATTAAAGATATATTAAAAACAAATACATATAAAAAAATTATTGGCGGGTTGGTTCATTGGCCTATCGGCTTGCCCTTTAACCGGACAAATTGGGGTCTCGTAGCCCATCTTGACTATTGCGGCCTAGCCCATCGCGTCATGTTTTTGGCTAGTTAGAGGCGAGGTGGGCAAAAATGGAGCGGATTAATCCGTTTTGGCATCCCTAAGTCACACTTTTTGTTTGAAGGTTGTAGGCATTTTTTTACATTAATACCTTTCCCACACTTGTTTCACACATGTCAAATACTTCTAATCAAGCTAAGACTTCTTAACAACTTGGGAACTAGCCAAGGTTTCCATATGAATAGTAATACTGATAGTAAAATAATCATCTTTAATCTTTGATTGAATTACTGTAGTTAGGTGGTTGTTAGAAGCATTACAGGTGGCTATTAGAATTAATACAGATTGGTAATAGTTGAATTTGAGTTGTACGTATCTGAATCTATATATATGGGATCATGAGAGTGGTGTGATTGGTGTGATTAACCCCTCTAAAAATACTTATCTCTTTTTAATATTAAGTTGGTATCAGAGCGGGTTAATCCTGCTCTGTTGGTCTCATTCACTCGATCTACACGCAACCCTCATCCTATTTATAATTATATGAATTATCATAGGGTGTCTCCTTCCTATTGTTCTTTTCTATCTTCAGTATCTTCTATTTCTATTCCAAAAAATATGATGGCAGCACTCAATCATCCTGGATGACGACAATCTATGATTGCTAAGATATAAGCTTTTAACCAGAATCACATATAGGAGTTAGTGTCTCTTCCACCTGGGATGAAGACAATTAAATGGATGGGTTTATGTCATTAAAGTTGGCCCCAACGTAAGATTGATCATCTCAAGGCACGATTAGTTGCAGAAGGGTACACACAAATTGATAGTCTTGACTACAATGATTTTCACCAGTTGCCAAAATGACTACTATCCGTCTTTTCTTTGCCATGACCACTATTCGTCATTGGTCTCTTCATTAGCTAGATATTAAAAATGTATTTCTTCACGGCAATTTAGAGGAAGAAGTCTACATGGAGCAACCTCCTGATTTTGTTGCCACATTATTCAAACTTTTGGACTGAAACATAGTGAAGCTAATCATTTAGTTTTTTATTGTCACACCTACCCTAAAGAAGGTGTTTACTTGATTATATATGTTGATGATATCGTGATTACAGGAAATAATGTTGTCAGAATATCTCAACTAAAAGAACACTTGTATAATCACTTTCAAACTCAGGATATTGGAAGCCTAAAATATTTCTTGGGAATTAAAAAAGTTGAGTCAAAAGAAGGAATTGTTATCTCTCAAAGAAAGTATGTCTTAGATATTGTCAAAGAAGGCATGGTTGATTGGACACCAGTAGACAGTTCCATGCACCCAAATCAAAAGCTAATGACAGAACAAGGTGAATTGTTCTCTGATCCAGAAAGGTTGGGAAACTTATTGATTTGACTATCACTAGACATGATTTGTCTTTTGCAGTGGGTGTTATAAGTCAATTTATGCAAGCTCCTTGTACTAATCATTGGAATGCTATTATTCGAATTCTAAGGTACCTCAAAAAGGTCTACTATACGAAGATAAAGGAGATTCCGAAGTCTTTGGATTTTATGATGCTGATCGGACAAGATCCCCCACTGATAGACATTCTACTACAAGATATTGTGTTTTCCTTGGAGGAAATATTATTTCTTGAAAAAGTAAGAAACAAAATGTAGTCACCCAATCTACTGCTGAAGTTGAATACCGGGCAATGACTTCTCTTACTTGTGAGCCTATATGGGTGAAACAATTCCTTCAAGAACTCAACTTTTGTAATATTCAGACAATGAAGATGTATTGTGATAACCAAACTGCTCTTTACATTGCCTCTAATCTAGTTTTTCATGAGAGAACTAAGCATATAGAGATTGACTGTGATTTTATTCGGGAGAAGTTGTTATCAAAAGAGATATGTACGGAGTATGTTGATTCTAATGATCAACTTGCAGATGTGCTAACCAAATCCTTATGGGGACCCCGGATTGAATTCTGTTGTTCCAAGCTTGGAACATACAATTTGTATGCTCCAGTTTGAAGGGGAGTGTTAGAATTAATGTAGTTAGGTGACTGTTAGAAGTATTACATGTGGCAGTTAGAATTAATACAAATTGGGAGTAGTTGAATTTATGAGTTGTACCTATCTTAATCTATATATATATATGGGATCATGAGAGCGATGTGATTAACCCCTCTAAAAATACTTCTCTCCTTTTAATATTAAGTATCTTAAGAAAAGTCAGCCTAAAATTTCATATTGTTTGCAGAAAGTTGTACTCATTTTTGTTCAATGCAAAACTACATTTTCTAAATCATTGACATTACATATGATGATGCTATGTGACTGAGAATTATTGGAAACACTTGTTTTAAATTTTTGCTTTAGTTTTGCATGCATGCTATTAGTATTAACAGGCATAGAATTAATTTTTAACTTCCATTTACATCTTTGTCACCCTGTTACCTAGGTTATTAATCAAAGGATGCCCAAAGAACTTCTACAAAGCAGCCTAAGGCCTATATTGGTCAATTTGGCACATACTAAAAATCTTAGCATGCCTCTTCTGCTTGGTCTTGCCCGCCTGCTTGAACTGTTGTCGAATTGGTTTAATGTTACTTTGGGTGGAAAACTTCTAGAGCATCTAAAGAGGTGGCTGGAGCCTGAAAAGTTGGCACAGAGTCAGAAGTCATGGAAGGCTGGTGAAGAACCAAAGATTGCTGCAGGTTTTACATCTATGGTTTAACATTTTTAATGCAATTGTCTTTAATTCAATTTCCTTAGATCATCCTTGTGCTGATATGTCTTCTCTATTGTTCTAGCTATAATTGAGCTTTTTCACTTGCTTCCTCCTGCTGCCTCGAAATTCCTTGATGAACTTGTAACCTTGACTATTGATTTGGAAGGAGCTCTACCACCAGGACAAGTATATAGTGAAATTAATAGTCCATATCGCCTTCCACTTACAAAGTTTTTAAATCGATATGCATCGCTCGCAGTTGATTATTTTCTTGCTCGATTAAGTGAACCAAAGTATTTCAGGCGGTAAGTTTTGGACTGTGGAACTTCAATTATGTACCTAGTAAGGTTGGATGCTTACATTGTTTCTTTTCTTGTTTGCTGTAAATTTAGTTTCATGTATATAATTCGTTCAGAAGCTGGCCAACCATTAAGAGAAGAACTTGCAAAATCACCACAAAAGATACTTGCAAGTGCATTCTCTGAATTTCTGCCCAAATCTGATGTGACAATGGCTCCTGCATCCACAAGTACACATACTAGTTTATTAGGTGAAGAAAGTGTTGCACCATCAACTGATGCTTCTAATCCACCTGCTCCTCCTCCCAATGCCACATCTGATGCTTACTTTCAGGGACTAGCACTTATAAAAACCCTCGTCAAATTGATCCCTGGATGGTTACAAAGTAATCGTAGTGTGTTTGATATGTTGGTACTTGTTTGGAAGTCACCTGCAAGAATATCCCGATTGCAAAAGGAACAGGAGCTAAACCTAGTTCAAGTAAGTATAAAATGTTATGGCATGTAAACATATTTAACTGTTTTATTGTGTTCTTTGCTTTTGATCTCATCAGTTCTTTGGACTTGACTTTCAACTGTTTAAGCCCAGCTGTTTGCTAACATCTTCAGCATTGCAGATGCTGGTCATGCCTGTGCCATTTGATTTGACAAACAATAAGGCTTATGATTATATGAGGACTAAAATGGCTTGGAAAAGGGAATGATTAGTCATATTTAGGCTTAAAAATTCTTCCTCTTGATGCTAAGTAACTTGTCTGTCAAGTAACCCTTGGCATTGCTTTATGGTTTTAAACATATATGGAGAAGTTTCCACTTCATTGCTGTCTACTTTTGCTTAAATTGGGTATATTAAACATTTGTGGTCTTGACTGAATTATGTGTATTTATTTATTGGTCGCTTTGATAGGTATCTTCACTTATGAGGAATATTTATAGATTCATGGTCATATCTTTTTGTTGCATCTCCTCCCCTCTTCAATTATGTTTGAGCATTAACAATACCATTTCATTATTTAAAATTTTGGCCATATTACCTAGTCTATAGAAGCTCATTTTTCCTTTCAAACAATATGAGCTAAGTTACATGTAGTTATTTTCATTTTTTATTGTGTGGTTCTACCACTGCATATTCTGTGCATTATCTGCTTTATGTTTTTCCATTTCTAATTTGTACTACTAGCATCATATCTATTGGTATTATTGCTTTGTTTTCTGTTATGAAATTATTATTCATGTTATTTTAAAATTTTTAACTTGTCCAAAGGCTTATTATACAATAACTTTCTTTTGTTTTCTTATAGTCTGTCTCATCAATCATTTTATATTTTTAGATATTTTTTTAACTGTCCATTCATTAAGTTGCTGGTTATTTTTGTTTTTAATGGTCATAATGTTACCGCAGGTTAAAGAAAGCAAATGGCTTGTCAAATGCTTCCTTAATTACTTGAGACATGACAAGAGCGAAGTGAATGTTCTCTTTGATATACTTACCATATTCTTATTTCATAGTCGGATTGACTATACATTCCTAAAGGAGTTTTACATTATTGAGGTACTTCATTATTGGATTTGAAATATCTGTTAATATCTGGATTCATTATTGTATTTGATATTTTTGGTGACTTCTAGGTTGCAGAAGGTTATCCACCAGGCATGAAAAAGGCTCTTCTATTGCATTTTCTCAGCCTTTTCCAATCAAGACAACTTGGTCATGACCATTTGGTGACTGTGATGCAAATGCTTATTCTTCCTATGCTTGCACATGCCTTTCAAAATGGTCAAAGTTGGGAAGTTGTTGATCCTGGTATTATAAAAACAATTGTTGATAAACTTCTTGATCCTCCAGAGGAGGTACGTCCTTATTATGTTTAATTTCTTATATGGCCTTTTGTTGAAATCTTCATGATTAAGTTTTGGTTATACAGCTATATAAGGTCTTCTATGTCTCACAATGCATTGTGTCCCTCTTCTGTAGGTTTCTGCTGAGTATGATGAGCCTTTAAGAATAGAACTATTGCAGCTTGCCACTTTGCTTCTTAAATATCTTCAGAATGATCTTGTCCATCATAGGAAGGAGCTGATAAAGTTTGGGTGGAATCATCTTAAGCGTGAAGACACTGCAAGCAAACAATGGGCATTTGTGAATGTTTGCCATTTCTTGGAGGCATATCAAGCCCCTGAAAAAATAATACTCCAGGTATGAAACATTGACTTCTTCTGAGTGTTCTTACTCATATAGTATCCTGTAAACATGAGCAGGTGAAAAGGTGAAAGCAAACGAGAGAAAGTGATGGAAAGTTCAAGAGAATGGAGTGACAAATTCTAATTCGTATTGAAAGAATTTTTTATCTTAAAATTACTATCATTGTTGTACATGCTGGGAACACCTATTTGTAGAGATCCTGATATAGAAAGGTAGTTATATATGTGAGACAGTTACAATGGTATTAAATTTAGATTGTCTAACAGCCTGTCAATGTATCAGAATTTGCTACAATTAATGCAAGTGATAAAATATAACAAAATACTGAATGCTAATTGCATACTCTAACACCACAACCAAGTTGTCAACTAAGTAATTGAGTGAAATATTTTTATCATGGAAAGGCAGTTTGCTTAATCACATGGGAAACTGATATGGAGTTAAAAGTGTATGTTAGTTAGTTAGTTATAGGATCAGAGGAGTAGCGTTGGGGGAGGCTATATGTACCATGTAATGGGAGGGTTAGGATGGTAGGAAGTTTTGTAATAGAAGTAGACAGGATCATCGTTTCCTGTGATTGTGGAAGACAGAGGGCCGTATTCTGTTTGTGGTGTGTTTGAATACAATAATCATTCTTTTTCTGAGTTGTACTGCTGTTATTAGGGAGGAGAGACGGTGTGAGTGATTTTTTCCAGGTTCTTACAACCCAGGACCTAACAGAAACATTCTATAATTTTTTTAATTTTAATGCCTACTGTGAAAGGGTAATCATGAAGAGTCGGGGAAAATACCCTCATAGAGCCTACTAGAAGTCAAAGCATGCACTGTAAATGGAAAATATCAATATAAGAGTATCTCTAATAGGAATTGCCTATTAAAATGCTTAAGGAAAACACTAGTTGTTTGAAGCAATTTTCCATTGAAGGAATCTTAGGTGGCATGGTAAATTGCTGAAAAAATTTTGTTAGTTGCTTCATCAAGCAACTTAAAAAAATGAAGAAAAAGGAGTAAATGAAGATAGAGAATGATTTCTTTAAATTCTTTTAAGAAAATATCTATTGGAGCAAAATCAAGTATAAGTTGTTTAAATATGATGTGACATAATATATTTATATTTTACCTTTTTCAAGATGAGAAACAACTCATGAGAGTTGTTCCCATTGGAGATGTCTTAAGGTGGTCTAGTGTTTGAATGATTTCTTTCAAAATTATGGCTAATCTGTTTACTTTTGTTCTAAATAGTAGACATTTATATCTTTCATGTTCTGTTCTTGAAGGAACTACTTTGTGGCATGTTTCATCTACTATTTTCTTTCCCTTGTATTATTTTTTTTTTATTGATTTGACAAAAAAAAGCTGGAGATAAACGTGTGTTTATGAGTGCTTTTTTAGATTTAAAGAGCTTTCATGTTGAAACTAGATGCCTCTACATTGATTTTCTTACTGAGTCTTGCTAATGAGAGAAGTTGTTGGCTTTATCTGAAATATAAATGTGCTTTGAAAATACTCTCTTTATTGTGTATCTAACTGACTCTCACATGAAAAATATAAGGCTTAATTACATTTGTGGTCCTATTATATATTTGTTTTGTTCAATTTTGTCCCTCTATTAACGAAAGGTTCAATCAAGTCCGCTCAATTTTGAAAATGCAACAATGTGATCCTTTTAATGTTCAATCAAGCCCCTCAATTTTAAAAAATGCAATAATGTGACCCTTTTGTATGTTGAAATTGACGTTGTTAGTCTTATGAATTGTCATTATGTGCTTGTTATAAATTGTATTATGCACATAAGTTAATACTGTCAATGTTTGTTTGTTGCTGATTTTACTGGATGGAAGAAAGTGGTCACATTGACACGCATTAAAAAATTCAGAGACCTGATTGATCATTTTATTAATATTGAGACTGAATTGAATAAAATAAATATATAATGGGACTAAACACGTAATTAAGCCAAAAAATAATGTGTATATCTGTACCCTGACACTGATTTACAACTGCAGGTGTTTGTTGCTCTTCTCAGAACTTGCCAACCGGAAAATAAAATGTTGGTCAAGCAAGCACTTGACATTCTAATGCCGGCACTGCCACGACGATTGCCCCTTGGTGATTCTCGGATGCCCATATGGATAAGATACACTAAGAAAATTCTTGTCGAAGAAGGTCATTCAATTCCCAATCTTATTCACATATTCCAACTTATTGTCCGCCATTCCGATCTCTTTTACAGCTGCAGAGCTCAGTTTGTTCCTCAGATGGTGAATTCTCTTAGTCGCCTTGGATTGCCTTATAATACCACAGCAGAGAACAGGCGTCTTGCCATTGAACTTGCTGGATTAGTTGTTAACTGGGAGAAGCAAAGACAAAATGAGATGAAAGTTGTTCCTGATTCTGATGCACCTAACCAAATCAATGATGTCTTTAATCCTAGCTCAGCTGATTCTAAGCGATCTGTGGATGGGTCTACATTTCCTGAAGATACAGCTAAGCGAGTAAAAGCAGAACCTGGCCTGCAATCCATATGTGTCATGTCACCTGGTGGTCCTTCATCAATAACTAACATTGAAACTCCTGGATCTGCCAGTCAACCTGATGAAGAATTTAAACCAAATGCTGCAATGGAGGAAATGATTATCAATTTTCTTATCAGAGTGAGGCTTACTTCTGACCTGTTTTTTTACATTTCGTATGTGATGATATCATTTGGCTAAATCATAGTAAGATGATTTTACATCTGAGAAACACACTTTCCAGTATTTAACGTTTTGGATATTGACTTTGCTGTTGCTTTCCCTAATGTTGGCAATCTTACAGTTTGAATTTGACGATGTTGATACCTATGGTTCAAAGGATAACTTGTTATTTTCTTAGTATAGTAACACCCACTTGCCTAATCACGGACACTTTTAAGTGATACCTGGCTGTGTGTTGTGTCAGTAGTGGCTGCCCACCAAGTATCTGTGTGGACGCTGAATAATTTTAGCTGCATTTAAATAATTTACTTTTTTTCTTAATTTTGTGCCAATACAATTTGGATAGAATGATGATTAAATAAGTTTTAACATTTTATTATGTTTATGTAAAATGTGTATCCCAATATTCTTGTTTTATTAAAGATTTTTTATATTAATTTTAGTTTATTTTTGTTGCACTGTAACAGTGTCATGTCCTGAATAATTTTAAAATGTATCCCAGGTCATATTTGTGCGTTTTAGTCACCTGTCCTTTGAGGTCTAGCAATAACATACATATATAAGAATGAAAGTGACTGATATGCAGTACTTTAATACTGAGGCGAAAGTATGTTTGCTTGTTGAAAAGATTCTCAATGCATACTCAACAACTCCTAAATCATTCTATTACTGAGGATATTATTGATGATTATCTCTTATTACGTATTTAGGTTGCTTTGGTTATAGAGCCAAAAGACAAAGAAGCAAGCGCTATGTACAAGCAAGCTTTGGAGCTACTTTCACAAGCTTTGGAGGTGTGGCCGAATGCAAATGTAAAATTTAATTATTTGGAAAAGCTTCTGAGCAGTATACAGCCATCTCAAGCAAAGGATCCATCCACTGCACTGGCACAGGGTTTGGATGTCATGAACAAAGTTTTAGAGAAACAACCTCACTTGTTCATAAGAAATAACATTAATCAGATTTCTCAAGTGGGTCTAACATTATATTATTTTATTTTTATTTGCTCAGTGATTCAATTTTGACAATAATTGTATTTTTGATCCAGATTCTTGAACCGTGTTTCAAGCATAAACTTTTAGATGCTGGAAAATCTTTTTGCTCGTTGCTGAGGATGATTTTTGTTGCGTTTCCTCAAGAATCAACTTCCACACCTGCTGATGTTAAGTTATTGTACCAGAAGCTTGATGATTTGATACAGAAGCATGCTACCACTGTCACTGCTCCTCAAACGGCTAGTGATGATAATAATGCTAGCTCAATTAGTTTCCTATTGCTTGTCATAAAAACCTTGACAGAGGTACAAAGGAACTTTGTTGACCCTTTAATTTTGGTTCGCATTCTTCAACGACTGCAACGTGATATGGGTTCATCGGCAGGGCCTCATTTAAGACAAGTATGTATGTTTTCCCTTTTTATTTAATTGTATTTTATTACATTCTAGGTAAAAAAATGAACATTTTATTAAAATATAAATTATTGTAGAAACAAAATCAAGTTAGAATTTAGAGGGAAAATATGCATGATGAATCAGTCTGCACATGAATGATTAAAACTGTTTGTTTTTAGTTTTAGAAAACTATCTCCTGTCTTATAGCTAATCTATTCACCTCAGTCGATAAAAGCTTATGATACTGACGATAGACATGCTTAATTTTATCCAGAGTGAAGTAGTTGTGTGTTTATGTAGTTCCCATTTCGATGCCTCTGTTACTTTAGTCTGACTCTTATACAATTTATTAAATCAATTCTATCCAGGCCACTATACTGTGATGAACATATATCTTGTCTTATTGATTGTGTGATTTTTTTTTTTTTTATTGAAATCTATAAGTATGCGTGATATGTTTTTCCATTTCATGTCTTTTGACTTAATAAATTGTCGCACTTTATTAGGGTCAGAGAACAGATCCAGATTCAGCGGTCACATCTTCCCGTCAAGGTGCTGATGTTGGAGCAATTATTTCAAATGTCAAATCGATTTTGAAACTTATGACTGATAGAGTGATGGTTGTTACTGAGTGCAAGCGGTCTGTGTCTCAAATATTGAATGCTTTACTCTCGGAGAAAGGAATTGATGCTAGTGTACTTCTTTGCATACTTGATGTGGTTAAAGGGTGGATTGAAGATGACTTCTGTAAACAAGGAACTTCAGTCACGCCAAGTGCCTTTCTCACTCCCAAGGAGATAGTTTCTTTTCTTCAGAAGCTGTCACAAGTTGATAAACAAAACTTCACACCAGTTGCTCTGGAAGAGTGGGACAGGAAATATCTACAACTTCTTTATGGGATTTGTGCAGATTCAAATAAGTAAGTTATTCGTCTTATGTTTGTCTGTGCTATCCTTGAAATGTATCCAGTCTTAATTTTTTCTTAAATGATTTCCAGATACCCTTTACCCTTGCGTCAAGAGGTTTTTCAGAAGGTGGAAAGGCTATTTATGCTTGGTTTACGAGCCAAAGATCCAGAAGTTAGGATGAAATTTTTCATTCTCTATCATGAGTCTCTTGGGAAAACTCTTTTTATCAGACTTCAATTTATTATCCAAATTCAAGACTGGGGGGCTTTGAGTGATGTCTTCTGGCTCAAGCAAGGCCTTGATCTTCTCCTGGCAATATTAGTTGAGGATAAACCTATTACACTAGCTCCAAATTCTGCTAGAGTTCAACCCCTTTTGGTTTCAAGTTCTATTCTGGAATTAACTGGGATGCCACATAAGGTTAATGATGCATCTGAAGGATCTGAGGATGCTCCACTAACATTTGAGACCCTTGTGCATAAGCATGCCCAGTTTCTTAACAGCATGAGCAAACTGCAGGTTACTGAATGTTTAATCAATTAAGAGCTATTTTACTGTCATATTTTGTTGTACAGCTTTGATAAGCTGCTTTTTTTTAATGTATATATATATATATATATATATAATCTGAGGCAATACTCACTTAATTTGGCCATCCTTTAAATTCATTTTATGTGTAAAACTTCTTGTGTTTGTTGAAAACGTTAAAATGATTGAAACTTTTTTGGCATTTTACTTTGGATTTGTCAAATTGAAGAGGACTACAGAGCTATTACTGTTTTCTGTCACACATGTAAATTTGTAATGAGCTGTTGTGCACTGTTATTGGCAAATACTTTATATTTCTCACAATGATAAAAATTCTTCCAGGTGGTTGATCTATTAATTCCATTGAGAGAGTTAGCCCACACAGATGCTAATGTTGCATACCATTTGTGGGTACTGGTATTTCCAATTGTCTGGGTGACATTGCATAAAGAAGAACAAGTGACACTTGCTAAACCAATGATTAATCTTTTGTCTAAAGATTACCATAAGAAGCAGCAAGGCAACAGACCAAACGTAGTGCAAGCTCTATTAGAAGGACTTCAGTTGAGCCATCCCCAACCCAGAATGCCAAGTGAGCTCATTAAATATATTGGGAAAACTTATAATGCATGGCATATTGCACTAGCTTTGCTGGAAAGTCATGTTATGCTGTTCCCAAATGATTCCAAATGCTCTGAGTCTCTGGCTGAGCTTTATCGTTTGCTCAATGAAGAGGATATGAGATGTGGGCTCTGGAAGAAGAGATCAGTCACTGCAGAAACCCGGGCTGGGCTTTCTCTTGTTCAGCATGGTTATTGGCACCGTGCCCAAAGTCTCTTTTATCAAGCCATGGTTAAGGCAACTCAAGGAACATATAATAACACTGTGCCAAAGGCTGAGATGTGTCTATGGGAAGAGCAGTGGTTATACTGTGCTAGTCAACTTAGTCAATGGGAAGCACTGGCAGACTTTGGCAAGAGTGTTGAGAATTATGAAATTCTGCTTGACAGTCTTTGGAAATTGCCTGATTGGACATATATGAAGGAGCATGTCATTCCCAAAGCTCAAGTGGAAGAAACTCCAAAGCTTCGTCTAATTCAAGCATACTTTGCTCTTCATGATAAAAATACAAATGGTGTGGGGGATGCTGAGAATATGGTAGGTAAAGGCGTTGATCTTGCTCTAGAACAATGGTGGCAGCTGCCTGAAATGTCTGTTCATTCCAGAATTCCTCTTCTGCAGCAATTCCAACAAATAGTTGAAGTTCAAGAATCAGCTAGGATTCTAATGGATATTTCAAATGGAAATAAACTCTCAGGAAATTCGGTTGTTGGTGTGCAAGGGAACCTTTATGCTGATCTGAAGGACATACTTGAGACGTGGAGACTAAGAACTCCAAATGAATGGGATAATATGTCTGTTTGGTATGATTTGCTGCAGTGGAGGAATGAAATGTACAACTCTGTCATTGATGCTTTCAAGGATTTTGGTGCCACAAATTCAGCACTTCATCATCTTGGTTACCGTGACAAAGCGTGGACTGTCAACAGGCTTGCTCACATTGCTCGAAAGCAAGGCCTTTATGATGTTTGTGTCACCATACTTGAAAAATTATACGGCCATTCGACCATGGAAGTACAGGTATGATAATTGGTCATTTATAGTTAGAGGATTGCCTCATTTTTGTCATTTTCTGAACATTTTTAATCATATGAGCATAGTCTTTGGGGGTGACTTTACATTCATTGTGTGGTTAGTTGCTGTGATAATTTTGACATCAACATCAAATGGCAAGTTCAGTTTTTTGATAAATCAGGATGTCATTTGTACATAATAGGAATTCTTAACAATTATATATTTATATGTATACGCAGAGCATTAACATACCTGTTTTATTTCCAGAGTACGTTTTATCTGACTAGAGTGAATTCTGATACTTGAGAACTTGTGTAGGTTTTATCTGATCTCTTTTTGAAGTATATACAGGAAGCATTTGTTAAGATAACTGAACAGGCAAAGGCATACCTAGAAAGTAAAGGAGAACTTACAAGCGGTATTAATCTGATCAACAGCACTAATCTAGAGTATTTTCCTGCAAAGCACAAGGCCGAAATTTTCCGTTTGAAAGGGGATTTCATGTTAAAAATGAATGATTCTGAGGCAACCAATGTTGCTTATTCAAATGCCATCAGTCTTTTCAAAAATTTGCCTAAAGGATGGATAAGCTGGGGAGACTACTGTGATATGGTAACTAGTATCTGCTTTTCATGTTACTTTCTATGACTATTTGGTATTAAATTAAGTTTTGTACTTATCTGTCATCTACTTCAAATAGGCTTACAGAGAAACTCATGACGAGATTTGGTTGGAATATGCTGTCAGCTGCTTCTTGCAAGGTATAAAATTTGGTGTGTCGAATTCAAGAAGCCATCTTGCTCGTGTACTTTATCTTCTTAGCTTTGATACTCCGAATGAGCCTGTTGGAAGGGCATTTGATAAGTACTATGAACAAATACCACATTGGGTTTGGCTCTCTTGGATTCCGCAGCTATTACTCTCCCTGCAGAGGACTGAAGCTCCTCACTGTAAACTTGTTCTTATGAAGATTGCAACCTTGTATCCTCAGGTGAGTGTTTGCGTATTTGCATTTGTTTATTGCAAATTTTGTGGATCCTAAATCATCTCTGGTTTTTCCTCCTGAATTTTAGGCTTTGTATTATTGGTTGCGCACATACTTACTGGAACGCCGGGATGTTGCCAATAAATCTGAACTTGGTAGAATTGCAATGGCTCAACAAAGAACACAACAGAGTGTTTCTGGTACTAGTACTGGTTCCCTTGGTGGGTTGGCTGATGGAAATGCTAGAGTACAAGGTCCTGGTGGGAGTAACTTGCCATCTGATATTCAGGCTCACCAAGGCTCCCAGACTGCAGGTGGAATTGGATCTCATGATGGTGGAAACTCACATGGGCAAGAACCTGAAAGGTCTACAAGTGCAGAAAGCAGCATGCACAATGGAAATGACCAACCTTTGCAGCAAGGTTCTGCAAACCTCAATGAAGGTGGTCAAAATACTTTAAGACGTGCTGCTGGTGCTTTAGGATTTGTGGCTTCAGCTGCCAGTGCTTTTGACGCTGCAAAAGATATAATGGAGGCTCTTAGGGGCAAGCATGCTAATTTGGCTAGTGAACTCGAGGTTGTCATCTTTGAGACTTTTTAAGTTGCTTTACTTTGTTTAAAATTTATGCTATTCTTCATTCACCCTTTCTCATTGTTTCATGCGAAATAATGTTGAGGTGATTGTATATATTTATTGAATGAAGCTATGAATTTATGTGGCAAAGTAAACATGAAGGTATACACTATAGACAAAGGCACATGAAAAAGAACAGTAGATATTTGATATAAACTTGGATATGTAGCAAAATTGTCTCCTTGCTTGGTACTTCCTGGCATCACATCTTTCATGTTTATGTGGATTGAACTAGCACCTAAGTTAAAATGATTTTTATGTAACTTTATGTTGTGTATTGTGCCAATGTATCTGAAAATAAAATCTGCCTCATGCTGCCTAAATTAGAAGTTACTTGGATGATTATAACAACATTTCTTTTGCAGATTCTGCTAACAGAAATTGGTTCAAGGTTTGTCACTCTTCCTGAAGAGAGACTTTTGGCAGTGGTTAATGCTTTGCTTCACCGCTGCTACAAATATCCAACAGCCACAACTGCAGAAGTTCCTCAGTCTCTCAAGAAAGAGCTCTCTGGTGTTTGTAGGGCTTGCTTTTCTGCTGACGCTGTAAATAAACATGTTGATTTTGTGAGGGAGTACAAACAGGATTTTGAACGAGATCTTGATCCTGAAAGCACTTCTACTTTTCCATCTACCCTCTCTCAACTGACTGAGCGGTTGAAACACTGGAAAAATGTTCTTCAAAGCAATGTTGAAGATAGGTTTCCAGCAGTTCTAAAGCTGGAAGAAGAAAGCAAGGTATTGCGGGACTTCCATGTTATTGATGTTGAAGTTCCAGGGCAATATTTCACTGATCAGGTAACTGCTGCTGAATTTTTTCAAATATTGCCAAAAATATAATGTATATATGTGTGTGTATTACAATATGTTACAATGTTATTAAAATAATCCTTTTTACCTGGGAGTATTTGGTGCATCCCATTCTGATTCTTAGTTATTTTGTACTATTCCAGGAAATTGCACCAGATCATACCGTTAAATTGGATAGGGTTGCGGCTGATATTCCGATTGTGCGGAGGCATGGGAGCAGTTTTCGCCGATTGACTCTGATTGGCTCTGATGGCTCCCAACGTCATTTTATTGTCCAAACATCTTTGACTCCCAATGCTAGAAGTGATGAGCGCATACTGCAGCTTTTCCGTGTGATGAACCAAATGTTTGAGAAGCACAAGGAATCAAGACGACGTCACATATGCATTCACACACCGATAATTATTCCTGTTTGGTCCCAGGTTAAATTTATTTTCCTTGTACATTATTGTTTCTTATTTTCACTTTTGTTTTAGAGTGATGGAACTTGGCTGCAACCAAGACTACCAAAACTGCAAATGAAACCTTTTCCTACTTAAAAGTATCCTCATTCTCTAATTGTACTTGAATTTTTGTTTGGACAGGTTCGCATGGTGGAAGACGATTTGATGTATAGTACTTTCCTTGAGGTCTATGAGAATCATTGTGCAAGGAATGACCGTGAGGCGGACCTTCCAATAACCTATTTCAAGGAGCAGTTGAACCAAGCTATCTCGGGCCAAATATCACCAGAAGCTGTTGTTGATCTTCGTCTGCAAGCCTATAATGAGATAACGAAAAATCTTGTAAATGACAACATCTTTTCACAGTACATGTACAAAACTCTACCTAGTGGGAACCATAGTTGGGCTTTCAAGAAGCAATTTGCCGTCCAGTTAGCCCTTTCAAGTTTCATGTCCTTTATGCTACAAATTGGTGGGAGGTCTCCGAACAAGATTTTGTTTGCAAAGAACACTGGAAAAATATTTCAAACTGATTTTCATCCTGCGTATGATGCAAATGGATTGATTGAGTTTAATGAGCCAGTCCCATTTAGGCTGACAAGGAATATGCAAGCCTTCTTCTCCCATGGAGTGGAAGGCCTTATCGTATCTTCAATGTGTGCTGCTGCCCAGGCTGTGGCTTCACCTAAGGTGAGAACTGCACATGCTTGCATAAACTTGAATGTTCTTCAATATTTTGATGATACTTCATGCAATGCAATACTATCAATTGAGTCGTTGTTAAATTCTTGGTATTGCAGCAAAGTCAGCACCTGTGGCATCATCTAGCAATGTTTTTCCGTGATGAGCTACTATCTTGGTCTTGGAGAAGACCGCTTGGGATGCCCATGGCCCCGATGGCTGCAGGTGGTACTATGAGCCCCGTTGACTTCAAACAGAAAGTTATCACAAATGTGGAACATGTTATAACAAGGGTTAAGGGAATCGCTCCTCAGAATTTTTCTGAAGAAGTAAGCAACTAAACAAAATTGCGTTCCCTCTTCAGTTTTCTGAAATTATTTATCCACTGCTTTAATTATTTGGAAACTTGACAGTCAGGTTTTCTTTTTAATTGCTGGATTGATGGAACAAGGATATAACTAGTTATGTTAACAAAATTCTTTTAGTATTTTATGGGTTACCTAGTAAAAATAAACCAATGCATTCTTTTGGACAGCTTTATGGACTTATTAGTTACTAAAGACAAAAGGAAATAAGGGGGATGAGAGATTTTTGCATTTCTCTTTTTCCTGTTGGCACCACTCATTGTCACTAAGTGCAAGCTTCCGCCTCCTGCTAATGTCCTTCCACTCTTAGTCATTACTGATACTAATTCCTATTTTTTTTTGTCTTTTAAAATTTTCTCATTCCCTTATTTACCCACCAGTTTGCCATTTCCTTTTTTTTTTAACTACATTCCATGTACTGGCACAAAGTATTATATAAAATGCTTTTCAAGAGAACATTAGTATTTACGCTGATTATTTTTATTCTTATTTTTATTTTTTATATAGGAGGAGAATGTTATGGATCCACCACAACCTGTGCAGAGGGGTGTTACTGAGTTGGTTGAAGCTGCCTTGAATCCTAGGAACTTGTGCATGATGGATCCAACGTGGCATCCCTGGTTCTAAGTTCTGATGGTAGTCCATTCTTGAAAAGTATTCAACAGCACCGTAAATGTGTGTACATATTCCGGTTCTATAGAGCAGTGCTACTTATTATGTCGAAACCCAATTGTTAAATCATTTGTATTGAGTCTCATTTTTCCTCTGCTATAGGTTAGAGCGATACAACGTAGAGTATATTAATTACAGCAGAAAGATCAGGTACCCCACATATATTATTAAGTATATTCTTCTTTGCTTTGTAGAAGACATTTGTATACACATCTGGGAATCATGAGTAAATGGCAGTTTTTAAAATGTGTTCAGAATTAACCTGTTACTTTTATTATTTAATTATATAATATAAAATTTTTGAATAATTAATTACTTGCAATCTAGAGTCAATACATAAGAGCCTTTAATGATTTTATCCATCAAATGAGTTATTTTGAATAAAAACTTGTTTAAGTACAGGAGCAGCAAAAATAAATTGTGTATCGTAATACTCAATAAAATTTCGTTCAACCCTGTAAGGTAAGGCAAGTAAACTGGTCCTTGGAAGTCTAGCTTTGTTTTCTGAGTTTCGTGCTTTAGATAATTTCCTAACATTCTTCCATTCATTATATAAGTGGCGATAATTACTTATATGAATGAGGCACCTTAACTAGGTTCTCAATAAGAGCATGTTTAGGAGCAGCCAGCCAGAGTGAAGAGCAAGCAAACTCCGCCCCTCTCTGTTGGCTATAAGCCACGAACAACATGACCAAGGAAAAGCAACTAATGCTCCTTGAAAATATTCATTTTTTAAGTTTTGTTTTAGTTTATTGTATGTTTTCATGTTAAAACTTAGTCTTTCATATTATTTGCAAAGTCCATAGGCATAGGAGTTTTGGTGAGTTTATATTTCTGATTGGCTTGGACTTCATTTTCATGTTCAAATTTAAACGATGGGAATTTGAATAGATAGGAAATGTCTCAATTATTTATTGGCTTCACTAAGGTGGATTATTTTTCCAAGCAATATCAATCAGCACCTTCGCAAGGTTGTTAACTTATGTTAGGTGAATCGTAGCTTATTACATCTAATTTAAGAATTTCAACGATTATTTTAATATTATAGTGTTATTATATAGAAGCTTAAAATGGGTTCAACATATTATTATATCACAATATCCCATGAATACTCTAATTAATTCCATTCAAGTCTATGACATGGTCTAGTGTCCATAATTTATAATTAAATTTTATGACCAACTTTCATTCCAAAACACGAAGCATTCACAATTTGGATAGCAAGACAAGGTTTTTTTTATGTTCATCGCAGTATCACTGCCAATAAATACAGCGTAGAATATTTTATATTTAAAAATTAATTTAAATATAATATAAAAATACATATACTAATTATCTACAATAGTTGAGAAAACATAAACTATTTGAATGATTTAAAATGAACAAATATAGAGATTCAGAAATAATAACATATATATATATATATATATATATATATATATATATATATATATATATATATATAATGTTTAAAAAACTGAAGCTGTGAATAAAAATTGAAGAAATTATAATCACTATAAATCCTCCCTTCCAAAATTATGCATGCATAATACACTTTTCATGACCGCTAAAATATTTTTTCGCTTTAGAATCTAATGCTCTATTTTTATAGAAAACAAGGCACTCACTAAGTTCATTCAGGGCAGAACATAACCTAAGAAAACATCTATATTAATTAAATAAAAAAATTAACATCGAAGTGAAATGGATTACCATAAGTATCGAGATGAGATTGAAAGAAAAAAAAACAATTAAATGTAGGAACTTTCATCAGAATAAACAGTTCTTTAAGTCCTTGTCACGTGATAAGCATCAACAAAGAATAAGACATGAGAATGAAGACCATTTTTAATCATACACAATATTCAACCGATACATGCATTGGGTTGCAATTAGATACGGAGAGACACAAATTGGAACATGCTAAAGTAGTTGCCGATTAGTAACAGCCGCAAAATTGCTACCAACAAAATAAAACCGTACAGGGTAAAGCGGCTCTCAAAGATTACTTCTTCTCCTCCTCCTTCGATGGCTTGTCGTCATTCTTCGGTTGAGACTGGATAAACAATACAATCAGAAAACTGATAGCAGCACAGGATACACGGCAAAATACCACTTGCCCCAACCCCAGAAACAAAGAAATTTTTGAAATTTGAGATAGTAGCACTAGGCCAAAAAGATCAGAAGCTTAGTAGCAAATTAATATTTGTAATAAAATCTCGTGTTCCAGTAAAAGTGATGAACACTTCAGGCCAAATTTACGCGAGCACATCTAAAAATATACTACTAGAGCAAATATTTGTCACGAAACTACAAGCACATAATTTCTAAAATTAGGCTATTACGAACATATTTATTTTCTAACTCAAGGTTGTGCTGTCTTACTATGTTTTCATATTAAAAAATAAAGCCAACTATTGTTCTCAAGGCATTCAGTGAGCAGCCATCATAAACAATTCAACAAAGTATTTCCACTAATAGTAGGATATCACCGAACAAATTCAACTATTACCGAATAAGGAAAAAATAATATCAATTAAAGGAGGGTAGAGTGGGAAAAGGAGCTCAAGGTTATCATAGCCAAGTACTCCAACTATGTCTGCAATAAAAATTTCTAAAATAATTCCTTTCAATCCAATGTATGTTTTTCGACAGTAGAAAGACTAACCTCGGACTGATTTTGCATGGACGCCAGCAAATCCTTGACTGAAGGATCATTTGTGTCAACCCCAGGAAGCTGCATAAGCAATGAATTATTACTTAGTGCAAAAATACAGTGCATGAATATACGATGTTTTCAAAGAACTAAGTAATCATACGATTTATTATACATACCGATGCAAGGATAGAAGATACAAAGGATTGATCAGCCAACAATTTGCTCATGTCCGACTGGCTTGCTTGATCCTTTGTACTATCTGATATTGACAAGTGGAGAGCTGCAAGCAACAAATGACCAAAATCCAGAAAGAGATCATAAACACAACTGAAGCTTTAATTGAGTTGGAGATTCTACGGTAAAAAGTAACATTTGAACACTGTGTACAGGTCAAGCTTATCAAAATCCTCAAAACAAGTAGTTAGCTGAGAAAATATGTAAATGCAGACAAGAGAAACATTATGCATTGGAATCTTTCTTTTCTCTGAAAAGGAATAAAAACTATCTACTTCACTAAGGTGCAAACACACGAAGAACTTCTCTGCGCCATGTTGAAATTTGAAAAGTAGATTAAATGCAGTATATTTGATAACTAGTTCAATCATCAAGATATGCATAAATAAGGCATTTCTCATATAAAAGACCGCATGTGAAAAAATAGACTTGTGATTTGCAAAACACTTGTCCATGTTTAATGGAAGCACTATGATGCACATAGTAGGAGTTGTGCCTGTGTTTCCATGATGGACAAACATCAGACAGCATGTGACACTTCAATTCAGTGCCTCATGGGACACTTGAATTTTACCGTTTTGCATAGTGTCCATGCCTAAATCTACGTTTCGTATATGAAGATTGAATAAACAACATAAAAAACTCACCTAGAGCCAACTCGGGATCACTTGCAGATGCTTCTGACATATCTGTATCTTTTACATCATGGCTAATGGCGGGATCATCCATTGACATGGCAAGTGCCTGCTGTAGTAAGGCATTCTCATCGTCCTGTTTCAATTAGAAGGTCAAATACAAATTACAAAAATACTATAAGGTCAATTTATAGAACTAAGGAATAAAATAAAATAATAAATTGCAATGGTACCCCCTAAGATTTTCTCAAATTACACATACATCATCTACTTTTTTAAAATTACAGTGACCTCCCTTATCAGGGGGTGTATGTGTATATTTTTAAAACATACGAGGATGCAAGTGTAATGTAAAAATGGGTGAAAATTCCCATCCATTGCCTCTGTCTGTTGCTGCCCATCCCCATAAATGGGGAACCCTAAGGTGATCTTTGGTACGAGGAATTTTTAATTATCAACTAACTCACTTTCTTAGGAATAGCCTTCTTGGGAAAATTTAGTGAAAATTTATAAAATGTTTGGTCATCATTCAACTACCTCGGAAATAATAATGGCCAATTACCATGGTAAAATTTAGAATGTTTATCATAAATTAATATGGAAATTCCCCCACCAATGAAGATGGGAGAGCTATATTTCTACCTTTTTAACAATAACATTTTTAGAAAGTTTTGTGCTCATAAAACATAATTATTTTCTTCTACCAAATATGGGAAATTTGTATTGCCATGTCATATTGCCAGGAATGTTTAAGCACTCCTTGCAACATACATTGCCTAAAGACTATAGCTTGTTTGGTTTACCATAATCTAAAGAAATACTCGCTTTTTAATATTGTCCAAAAATAACAGACATAAAATATCCAGTATGTGTGTGCAGAAATAGGAAAACTGAGGTTTTTACCTGCTTGATGATGCAGTAATAAATACTTAGAGCTAAGACATCAAAATGCATTGCAATGGCCAGCCCATCCAGAAATAATCACATTTAACTACTCAGAACTAAACGAGACTATAGTCTAAGCTGTCTAAAAGGGCAATATTGACAAATTCTGTAGGTTTCTGAAGTTTCAGTTACACACCTCCGCTGAGATACGAAGGCTCTCAAATATCTAGACCCACTATCTTCCTTGTGAAGTTTCAAGTCTAGATGTATATGACTTGGCAATTTAATTACTCAACAATTACAATAAGTAGCCCAACCAACCAAGTGAACCAAGAACCAACAATTCTATGCACATAGATTATTATATTCCAGTTGAACAAGGAGGAAAAGATGCAATTACACCCATAGATAAAAAGCAACAAAAACACCAACCATCAAATCACTAGTCTTATTCTCAGCTTCAGATGTTGCCACACTGGCACGCTCAGTCATTGTTGCATCTTGTGAGCTGGCTTGCTGCTCACCTCCCTTATCGTGCTTGG